CGGGAGAAATTACGACATTTCTATTTCCTACCACCCATTTAATTTCAGACAATGTCTACATACATACAAAAGAAATATAAATTGATTTCAAACATGTTAGACCCGGTGGGGATTGAACCCATGATTCGTTAACCGTTACCATTATACGTTGTTATAATTAGACTAACGATCAACGTCATAGAGTACTTGCCCGTCAACATGATGGAATACTTGCATACTTCCTCTTCGCAGTAGTCGGGTAAAATTAAAACTTAAATCGCTTCGGACACTCAACAACGCTTTTAATGAAAATTACATAATAATTCGATCAACTCAATCTCGGCTCCTCAAATATTACAAATCCAATTTTTGCCAGCATCCGGCCATACCGGAAAGCGTAATCTGTGACAAAATTGAATATTACGCCTAAAAGATTGTATTTTGAGCCGTTTGTTACGAGGAGTGGTGGATAGAAATAACTCCGTTATTGTAAAACTTTGAGAAACTAATGTAGAAATTTGTTTAACAAAAATATCATAAAAGATAAGTATAAAGTAGTTCTTGGTAAAGGGATTCTCAAGAGCAACAGCACGGAACGCTGACAATGCCGGTTCAAGTTCTGCCCGAGTCGAAAATTTTTTCAATTTATTTTCGATTTTTAAATTATAAAGGGATTCTCTTTTTATTATTTTTTATTGATCTATCAAACGAAAAATTACATCTTAAATAATAACAGATATCGATCCAATACCGTCTGTAGTTTATGCGACTAGTACACATTTAAATAAATCACTTTAACGGCTTATAGCTCGTGTCTTCCCGTGACCACGGCTGCTGCAGAGCACCCAAAATGTTGGGTCGTAGTTCAAATAATTTTCAAAGAAGATTAAGTAATATATATCGCGTTTTATTAAAATATATCGATCCATTTCTTATACTTAAAAAAAACAAACGAAATATTTGCCTCGCAAAGCCAACTCGTGTATACAATGTTACCACTATTTTCAATAAGAAATCTATATAAACGATGGTATTATGAAATCATCTTGATTATTAAGGTTTTAATAAAAAAATAATAGATATTCAAAGGTTTTGATCGTTTTAAGTTTTTTTTAAAGAGCCTTTTGTTTTTTTGAATTAGCGAAATTTTTGAATTTGGAATTTCACAAAACGCGAGTAACACAGTATAACGTAGCTTGTCCTATATATGGATTGTAATGTCCCAGATACATCTCTTTTTAAGTATTTTCCCTTTCGTCTAACCTATTTACGCAGGGAAAAATGTACGCACTGTCAGTCAAGTGTTGTCTCTTATCAGCATTGAAGCATGATGTTAGGTGAGTGTGAAATATTTCTTACGTCTGAGAGACTCCTTTCAAAGAGAGCTTTCGCTACTTTGGAGTTACTAAGCAAATTTGACTGAGGGTCGTGACATAGCTGATGTCCGAAAATGTAGGTGCTCTCTGATAGTGCGCTCATAAAAGGTACTAAAGTTGATGCACAGGTCATCATTTTTAAATTTTTAAAAGCAACTTGTTTATGGTGATATAAAAAAGGAATAAATTAGATTTTAAATTCAAATAAAAAATTCTAGCAAGCAAATTTTCAAAATATCGCTCGACAAAGAAAATACATCAAAAATAATACTGGAATATGTTTCTTGATTTGTAAGCAGATATGGTGGACTATTATATCAGTGCCCTTGCCTTTCTTATGAAAAGTCAATTTAGAAAGTCTCAATCTAAAATCAAAAGACGAGTTTACTAGCATTTCGATAAGCATGAATGGCTCTGGATTTGTCTCAAGGAAAATAAACATGTATCGATCTAGTAGAATATTGCACAATATCGTTCTGTAAGAAACTTCATTTCTATGTGGCTACTCCAAAAATATAACCTAATATAACGTGGGCGTTTTGTTTTGCTTCTTTTAAAGCAAACTTAGATTCTCTTAAACTTTAAAAGTCTGCTATTTGAAATTAAAACAAAGTATGTTATATATGAATAGTTATTTTTAAATTCTATAAAGGACTACAAAATATTAATAGTAACAAGCTCCTTAACCAAGATGTTTATTGTACAAAGAATAAATCAGATGACATATTTATTTGCCTTATTGAAGACATTTACCTTATTGAATAACCTCAATAAGATCTTATCATTCCATAATCGTCCCTGCAATAGATTTCATGGAAAAGAGTTACGAAGGAAATGAGAAAACGTAGAACATTTATGAAGGCGTTTATCAGGAAGACATTCGCCCTAAGTAGCAAAATCAAAGGGAAATAAAACGCTTATAAAGCCTGATTGAAACATTTAAACAAACCCGACGACAGAAACGGGAATTTCAAAGACATGTTTCAGATTTTGAAATTGAATTAACCTTATCTATCGATCAAACATTTGTTGTCATATGCTCTAGAAAGATATTCAAATCAGTGCTGGCGGCAGGATACGAACCCACGACCGCCGTTTTTATTCATCAAAACACTTCGGTCGGCTATTTTTATGCATAAGTTCAACCTAATATATTAGTATTTCTTACGATATGATTTGTTCAAAAATAATATGTTCAATTACTTCAAATTTCTGTTATGCTTAATTTTTTAGTAAACAGAATAAGAGTACAGTTACAAAATAAATGTTTTCATAAAAACTTCGCATAGGTTTGTGTTCTGAGAATATGCCTTTGGATATATATAGTGTGCTCTTCCTTGAATTTCTCTACAGATGTTATATAAACGAAGCTGGTGTATAATTCTGTTTCTCTAACAATTATTTTATTTAAGAAAACTAAATGAGACATTTTCTCTGAAAACTGTTGCAAGTGATAATTATAACGCTTCCAACTCTATTTAGCTTTCTTTATAAAGTTCTTTGTTTATTTCGAAATTACCTTACTTATCTAGAATGCAAACCTTATGCTTTATATATTTAAAATAATAATATATAAAACAAAGTCGAAGTAAAAAAGTTTTTTAACCCAAATAACGTGAGATTTGGATTTGTCTCCAAAAAATAAAGCTCGCTATACTTATCTTAAGAAAACAATTAAAAACATTTAACAATAGGTGTGTCTCTGTTTTATGCTATCTTTTGTTTCGATTCGATCTACTGTGCATTAATGCATGTTATTTTTTTCTAAAATAATGTTGTTTTAGTAACAGTCAATGTAGATTTATATATAGAACTAAATTCTTGTATTTTAAAGTTATCTTATTAAAAATACATATTTTAAGTTCATACGATATTTATTATTATTTGAATGATAATTTTTCCCCTCTCATTTTACATTTTAATGATTGGAAATAAGATCTTTTCGTTATTTTACTGTCGAATTCTCTGCAGGAAGGAAATAGTTGATTTCATTTTGTTGCTCAATCTTAACCGGGGAATCCCACGGGAAATTCTCAAATATCATTTCGTCGTAGCTAAATTATTGAACAAACATTATATCAAACAGAATGTGAATAATTTATTTTTAAATTCAACGTATGCGACTGAAGCTTGGAGGTTGTAACCATAAATAGAAATTGTTTAACTAAACCTGACATTACGCATGTATCTGCAACGCCTGGTTTTTAAAAAAAATCAATAAAAAACATTAAAAGGTTTATTTAAAACCGTCAACAATAGACAATACTTAAACATACTTCTTAGTCTATATAGCATAAAATTGTATTAAAAAACTGAAATATATTAAGAAAGATACTATTTGAAATTCCCCTTTCGCGAGCACAGAAGTTGACAAAGCTTGCCAAAGTGGTACACCCCGTAGCCAGAGATAAGAAAATGATTGGATGAAAAGAGGCAACTTGGAAGTGAACAAGTGCAAAGAAAACTCTATACATCTCGTGATATTTTTATACTGAAAGGAGCAATTTCTACAATCCGCCGGTTTGGGATACAGATTTAAAATTTCATATTTAATACAGGTCTGATTTTTGAAAACATTAATATTTTTTATACATTTTGCACATGAAGGCACTATATAATTTAAAAATCGAAAATAAATTGAAAAAAATTTTCGACTCGGGTAGAACTTGAACCGGCATCGTCAGCTTTCCGTGCTGTTGCTCTGCCAATTGATAAGCATACAACATTGACCCTTAATACGCAAGTGTCAAGGTTGAAATTACATTGCGCGAGAGGTGCATGTATCAATAAGTTGAAAAAATTCGACGATGAGTTGTAGGACTCAGTAGCTCAATTGGTAGAGCAACAGCACGGAACGCTGACGATACCGGTTCAAGTCCAGCCCGAGTCGAATTTTTTTTCAATTTTTAAACAAGTCTGATTTGTTATGAAGACAATTTAAGCGTAAAAATGTTATATTATATTATTTAAAGTCCCGAACCTGATAATTTAAAGCAATCCAAAAGGCCCGTAGTTCTAAATGATTAAACTAATAATTTTGTGTTTTGAACCTTAACGTGTTATATTTAATTTAAACCCTTTGCAGAAACTAGCCAATACTTAAATTGTGTGTTTTACTAATAATGTTCTTATGAATGAAAAAATATTTTTCAGTAAGTAAGTTAGTCCTAATTTTGTAAACTTTGTTTTTATCCTTAACATTAACTTTGTTTTAAATATACACTTATTAAAGAGTCGAGGATGTATTTAGTATTTCCTTATTTAATTATGATTGTGATAATTATAAATCCCTGTTTATAATAATACAATTTGGCTAGATAACAAAACCTGTGGTTACCGAGGTTTTAAATAACCGTAATATTTTTTAAACTAAATTTTCTTTCCTTTGTTCGCATGTGAATCTTGAACTACAATAGAATACATCCGTGTATATTGTTGTTGTTCGGTAGAACTACGAACGAAGATGTCCGATGTTACATTGTAACTTCAGGTAGGTATATATTACAAAATGCATATGAAATACAAGGATGAACAACAAACAACATGTGCAGAGGGGAAACCAGATTGATTCGAAGTTTATCATCTGAAGACCTATAAACACGAAGGTTTCTCAAACAAACGAGCATTCGCAAGCAAGCCAGCAAGATGTACCGATGTCTACTTCTCTTCTTCATCTGTTCGGTCGTGAACAGCCATCTGTGGCATCATAACCATCACGAAATGCACAACCACCCACACGGCTTCTTTGATTCTTGGAGTTACGACAGCGGTTCTTATGAAGAGAAAGCTAGTGACTTGAGAGAAGAAGACTGTAACGACTCGAGTACAGGTGGAGACAATTTTGAATCCCTTGCTCGTGAAATTCTAGAAAACGATGAAACCAACTGGAACTCCTGCAAACAGAACACAAATGTTGTTCAAGAAGTCTACACCACTGATTCTTATATGATAATCTATTCTGTGCCTGGATTAACCGATGGTAATGTGAACATTCAAATAAAGCATAAGGTGATCAGCGTGGTTGCTACCGCGTCGGGCATAAGTTTCAAAGATGTCAGGACACTATCAGATATACTGGACACAGCTGAAGCCAGTTGGTACGTGGACTTTGGAACAATTAAAGTGCTCATTCCATACAAAATACGCTTCGACCACCTAATGCCGAAGCGTTGTGAGATGGTCAAGAAGGATGTCTTCGATGTACAGCCGCTTCCAGATATTTCCAGTTTCTTCAGACAGAACCATCAGGGCGGTGTTTCAGCTCAGAGACCAGAAAGACTATACTAACGCTTTATATAATCTCATATATTTAGGTTGTTATTGCCGATATTAACTGTAAAAACTTCTTAGGGATAAATTAATTAAGTTTGCCCTTTGTTGCAATATATATTATTATATAGGTGTTACTTTAATTTTAAGTTATTAATTATATTGCATGTAGTTTCAATAATTTCAATTGGATTTAAACCTTTGTTAATAAAACATAACAATGAATGATATAAATAAACTTTAAATGGAATATTGTCTGTAGTTTACACGAGTAGTACACATTTAAATAAAACATTTTAACGGTTTAAACTTATTTTAAAATTATTTCAACTACGGCCCAACGTTCCGGATGTTTTGCAGCACCCGTGATCACGTGGACCGGGTGCCCCCTCGACAAATTAGTTTAACGAATATATTTAACGTTTTAAACCGTTAAAGTGTTTTATTTAAACTTTAAATTATTAACATGGAAATATATACGCTCGACGTCCCATATGGAGAATATGGGATTTCGCATCCGACTATGCAATTTAATATATTAGCTTTAATTATAATATACTGGATTGACATACTGATTTTCAGTGTACACGCGGCTGAGTTATGTTGATCATTAAACCGAATGCGACTGTATCGTTAATGTAACACAATCCTGCTTTCAGTGTTACTTAATAACGAAGTTAAATTTAAGCTAGTGATTAGAGAAGATTGATTGGGGCCACTTAGGGCACAGAAGCTAAATTTGCCTCGTACATGCTATAAGCAAAGATCAATCAAAGATATTGATGACGATATAAGATTTGAAGAAATAAAATTGTGCTTGTAAATCCAACTAAATACTGTCTGTAGTTTACGCGAGTAGTACACATTTATATATAACATAACGGTATAAAACGCGATATATTTTAGTTAAACTTGTTTAAAAAACATGTTTAACTACAGCCCGACGTTTCAGATGCTTTGCGGTAGCCGTAGTCACACAGAATACAATAAAAATATGTTTACTATTATTTACGTATTAATCGGTTAAAAATGTTTATCGACATGTACCACTCGCGTTAACTTAAAAGTCAAATGCGAAAAATATTAGTCAAATCTGTTGCTACTATGGCCCGCCATAGTAAAATTAAGAATAAATTACCTAATATATTTTTATTTATTTATTTAACTTTAAAATTTAATTATACACCACTCGAATTCATACTTATGAAGTAGCATATAAATAAAATGGCACCCTTATCGCAAAACAGCAATCTGAAGTGAAGGAAAGAATATCAAAAAGGCATACATTTCGTATTTTAAGCGTTAAAACGTTTAACTTAAAAAATATTATAACCTTATAAAGGCTTTATTGCGCATTTCATTTTGTCCAAGACAAGTACATAATATTTGCTTTGTTGTGGAAAAAATGGAGAATAATCGGCTTGTTAGGGGAGTGATTTCGTAAGCCTTAGTCTGAATATAGAACTCGAGATGCCATCCAATTTTCTTCCGTAATAGTCTATGATGGGTTACGCAAAAAATCTCTCGCAATGCGAAGCATCTTATGTACTTTTAATTATGGAAAATTCTCTATTCTCTATGTCTACCACATGTAGGTACCACCAATATTTCACAGTTATAGAATAACACAATAAATAATAATAGTGTTTTTATTGTAATATTTTATTTATATTATATATAATAGAGCTAAAAAAGGAATTTGTATATGCAAGTCTTATGCTATGAAACGTTAAAACGCGATAATATCAGGCATTAGTGGTTCAAATTATTTATTGTATTGGATAAACCGTTGCGTCCAATAGGAGCAAAGAAACAGTGGAAAATGTGGAAAAACGAGGAAAGCTTTTCATCTATGAGGATTCCGTTGCGTGCGTAAATATTCTTCAGTACACACAGTATACTATACGAGGCGAACGAATATACGAAGTGGGGGGGAACAACTAGCTGTTTAGCAAAATAATTAACCGCTTTAAATGCGATGTATATTAGTTAATTCAGATATCACAGCGACTTTGCATAACTAAAGACAATACTTAGTGTTTCATTATCATTAAACAAATTATTATGCCAGCTCTAGTCAAATATCTGGATTGTGTACGGGAATTTGGAGACGGCAATTAAATCAATCACGATTGTAATAAACGTCTGAGTTTCACAGCACATAATTGAATTATCTAGTTGCCTACAATTGATATTAATAATTCGCATCTTAAGCATTAGGGCTGACGAATATACGCTATCAATTTCAGAAATTACAAGAGTTCCATTAAGCTTAACAGTTTTTAAATAAACTTAACTTAATAAACACGCTTGACAGTTTAAAACATATATTTAATATAATAAAAATGAGCCCGACGTTTAAAATTAATATATCATGCATTGAAATAAAACACTTTAACGGTTTAAAACGCGATATATTAGTTAAACTTATTTGAAAATGATTTTTAACTTCGGCCCGACGTTTCGGATGCTTTGCAGCAGCCGTGGTCACGGGGAGACTCCCTTGTTTTATTGAAATACTCGCGTAAATTGCAAACAAAGCTTAGTTATTTAGTATTTAAACGAATTCATTGCATGTACTTTACGGTTTAAAACGTGAAATAAATTAGCTAGCGGCTGTTGCAAAGCGTTCGCAATGTCGTATCATAGTTTTATAACAATATTTGGCGTTTTAAAGTGAAACGAATGTGTACTATTCTCTATTTATTAGTTTTAATTGGATTTGGTGAACGAATTATTGTATTCATAAAATAGTTTTTTTATGAGGGTTTAAATCACAGTGTATCTATTTATCAATCGATGTCATTAGTTAATATAAGATAGACTTTTTCTTTATAATAAAAATTCAGTATTCCATTTTTATATATTAGTTTGTTCTGACAAGTTATTCAGCTTTGTAATTAAGTATAGATTAGCTGTGCCTTCAACTTTGTCTGTGTGTACCTTTTTAGTTCAGACAACTTGTTTTAACTAGCGTGCGATTTTAATAAAACAAAGCCTGCCCCGAGCAAAACTCATTCAATATTTAAATTACACCAATAGGTCGCGATCGTGAAGGAATTTTATGTGTATACTTTGTATTTATAAAAAATATACTCTCTTTATATCGCTATTTCAAAAATGACTTCAAAAATGTAAGTTCACCATTTCATGTCTTTTTACGTTTTTTTGGGCATAACTTAATCGAACTTATAAACCGATTTTGACCAATGATAAATATACACAGTTACTAAGTACCGTCTCTGTTTTACCCGAGTGGTAATATTAAACACTCTAAACGGTTAAAAACGCAAAATTTATTCGTTAAAATTATTTATTATTTTCTCGTCCCGTGACCACGGCAAGAAAGCATCCGACACGTCGGCATGTAGTTACAATAACGTGTAAATACGTTTAATAATAATCTTTATGTTTAAGCCATTCAAATTTTTATTTAAATATAGAATTGTTGTTCTATCTTGGAACCGACTTCTTTCCTTAATACTTTTTAATTTCTCAAAATATAATTATATAAAATTTCGGCCCCAAAAATTTGACCTTATAAGTTTTCAGAACTGTTCCATATATGTATGTATAATTATTTATTAACTTATGTTGATTTAATTAAGTCAAAACATTAGTAACTAGCTGTGTCAGGGACTTCGTTCGCGTAGAATTTGGGCATCCAAATTTGCTTCTGCAAACCTCTACATCTTTATAAATTTAAGCTGCCCATGACATCGGTCGGGTCCCGTCGTTCTTGCAAGTTAATCGTAAAAGATAGACATATAGTGTCGCGGATTTTTTTTTAGATCATTTAAAGAGAAATCATTCTTTGATACATATTTGTTGAGTGTTTTGAACCGTTTTCGTTTCGATGCGGCACGCATCTGAAACCCACAGAGATGAAAAATTTCCCCCGTTGTGTTCACATTTCCCGCTGTATCTTCGCTTCTATTTTCAAACTCGAACCCGTGCTTCCTAAGATTAGCGCGTTCAAAAAAACAAACTCTTCAGCTTTATATAGTATAGATTGTATTTTTCGCACCTTAATGTATTGTTTGAAGTCGACTACTTTTTTTTATTTTTTTTTAATCCAAATAATTTTTATCATACATACAGTCGGACGATTTCTTTCACTTAACCACCTTACACAGTTAACGTGTATACGTCGGGCATTATACACGTCATCGGGTCGTAAACAAATCAATAATTAATATCCAAAGATATTTTGCTCCAATGAATTTGGAAGGATCACGTTTTAAGCAAGTTCTATTCAAGTTTATGCCCAAATTAGACCTGAACTTTGAATCAAATCGATTGATTTACTTAAGGTATTAAATACCTTGTTAGACAAATACTACGAATTTCTGTTTAGTAGTGTAAACAGAAACCCCATTTGGACCGTTTATTCGTAAATTCTATATACTTTGTTATATAATAACTATTGTTTTATGTAATCTCGAGATTATGTGTTTAAATAATGTAATAATATCGCTGAAAAGTACACATTTAAAATAAAACACTTTAACCGTTTAAAACGTGAAAATAAATTTGTTAATCTGTTTTTACTACGGGGAGTCTTTCCGTGACCACGGCTGCTGCAAATCATCCGAAACGTGGGGCCGAATAAAAATATTTTTTAAATAACCTTAACGAATATGTTTCGCGTTTAAAACCGTTAAAGTATTTTATTCGAACATACGAAATATTGTCTGTAGTTTATGATAATAATAAAAAACTTTTTTCGGCCAATTACATCGAATATTACTTTAAGTTACTTTGAGCTCTCAAGGTAATAATTAAACGTGTAGCATGAATATCATTGTCTTTCGGGCTGTTCGGCCGATGTGAGCGAGATGAGGTTCTTGACGAACAGCCCGAAAGACAATAATATGCTGAAAGATGGCCGTGAAAGCCTTACACAATTTATTGTGTAGCATGGAGTTAAGCACGAGAGATTCTGGGTTCGAATCACGGGGGAACAATACTACTTGCCTCTAAATAAAACAGATCATAGAAACGGACATATAAATATG